CTTCCTTGTCTTCATGAAGTGGAAGCCAGGATAACCAATGTGGCAAGACTTCTTCAACATTTACACAGTCAGGTTTGAATTTCATAATCTTCCCTACTGCTGAGATACAGTTCTCTGTTGCATTGACATTTTCTTTGGTCCTAGAATCTGCAGCCTGAATAACTCTTACCAGCAGTGGAAGTGCTTCTAAAACAAGCATTTGAAAATAGGTCAGTAAAAAAACCCTCATTTTCATGCAAATTAAGAAAACTGTTATTTCTTTTATCTGGTTACAGATTATCATGGGGGGGAAGTATAAGGAATATTCTCATTTTCTGCTATACAATCATAGACACAGAAATGAAAGCGATTGCTCAGCTGGTCAGGACCTCCTGGGGTGAAGAGTGCTAGTATTATGAATTTAAGAGACCTGTGAAATACATTGAAAATCACTGTAGTCAAGTTGCAACCAGCTTATAGCTGACTCTCCAATAGGGCTGTAAATGTATTCTCCAGTGGACAGTACTCCAAACTTCATGGGTGTAGATCTTTTTCCTAAGAAGCTGAGGCTGGCTTTGAACTGGGTTAGCAGTGAAACTCCCTACAGACAATGCCACCAGAGCTCCCCTGTGATATACATTTATGGTCCCAAATTTTAAACGGGTGGCCTGCAGGCACTGAAGCTGTTCAACTATATTCCTATAGTTTAGCCAGGAGCCATGCGGTGCAATGGGTAAGTGCTCAGCTGTAAGGGAAAGGGCAGTGTGCTTCCATATAGATCCCAACCTTGAAAATACCCTCTAAGGCAGTTCTATCTTATAGGTTGTTCCCAAGTAGGAATCAACTTGGAAGTATTGGTCTGAGTTTGGGGTTTATGGCAGGACTGAAGGTGGCAGTCAATGTGCTGGGCTGCTAATCAGAAGTCTGAGCCTACAAAAATTACCTGAGCAAAAAGGGATGACAGTCTGTTGCACTAATTAATACATATGGTGTTGCCATGGATGCTAGTTTGAAGGCACCTGGTTTATGCTAGTACTGTGTTAAACTCTTAAAATTAAAAATGAAACTATCTGGGAGCCTGGGGTATATAATGAAATGAGTCTGGTTTCCAATCAGATTTCATGTCCAGGTCTACGCAAATAAAGGTGATACATTCACATGTTACACAAGTGTTTGAGAAAGAGAAGCAAGCAGAAAGAGGTTATGTTTGGGAGTGTGCAAAAAGAGAATGAGGAGGTAGGTAAAGGAAATGGGAAAGATCCGGTGTGAGAATCAGTGCGTACGAACTTGGTAAGTAAACCAATAAAGAGAATGAAGACATCTAGGATTAAATGAAATCAAAGTACCTGTACAGAAAGGACGATAGTTGTCTCCGCCGTACTGTGCCATGACGCCCAGGCCATATGCAGCAGCTTGCCTGACTTCTGGGCTGTTGTCACACACATACTGGAGCATTGGCCTTAAGAAATACTCTGCATATTTAAAGGAGGCTGGGCTACAGTGTTCTATAACATCATCAAAGATGCATAATCCCCACTGTCTGTCTGGCCATGGTCTATGTGGACACTGCAGAAGAGACACTCTTGTAAACCTCTGATTTTGGAGTACACAAATAGCTTTAACATACTATCAGCTTACCTTGATATTCTTAATATAGCTAAACCCACCCTCCCCAACCACTTATGTGAATAACAAGACTCTTTAAAAAATGTAGAGGTTTAAAAAGTTTTTATGGAGATCTTGTAACAAGACCCCAGAATCAGATAATATCAAAACCAGGAAGAACTTAATAGTAGTAGCAATTTGTAAAATTATAGTGGTAAACTCTATTTTAAAAGTACAAGATTAGTAAGAGTTGGAAAAATAAAGCTTTTATATTGATTCAATAGGCTATTATAGGTAAATTGTACCAAATAAAATTTTTAAAAAGTCAATTTAACCTAAAAATGTAAGTTCTAGTATAATACAATGAAACAGATCAATTATCTTAAAGAAATTGTTAAAAAGAGGTAGCACTTACGATGAGGTTGACTATTAACGGAAGCAGTTGTTCAAACCATGGTAACACCTTTTCTTTGTAGCTACTGAATATTGAATGTAAAATGTCTGACACTTTGGTCAGAATATAAACATCATTTTCATCCTGAGAGGTACCAAAAAAAGAAATTAAGCATATGTATTAAAAAGCACTTCTAGGATTAGTAACAGCAACATCTTACAGAAAATAAAGTGTATTATTACTTACTTAAGGGAGACTGATGTACCCTTGATGAGAAGGTGTAATGCTTTTTACATGTCAACAGGACACTGAGTTACATAACAAGATGTGTACTTATTTAAAATATAGGTTCAAACCCCCCCAAAATAAACAAACCCAGCTCACCCCTGAATTCCCAGGTTCTGAAGCAGATATAAACATCATTATCTCCCCCTCACCCTTTCTGTAAAAATATTCCTCCTTTTAGGCTGGGATGGTGGGGAGATGTGAAGTCTGTTACTTATAGCTCATGGCTGATAGTCAAGGTGAAAAATTATACACCAACCACTGCATATGCTTTTATCTCTTAAGGCAATTGGAGCTATTATGGGATATAACAGAAAAGGTCCATCAGAGAGACATGGGTTTGACACCCAGCCTGACAAAGATGTGACTTGAGGCAGTCATTCACAGAATGACTTTGCTCATCTCTGAAGCAGTGAAACCACCACCAAAATAAAAAACAGCTGTTGTGAGGAAGATGTAAAAGAGAAACTCCAAATGCTTTTGTTAAGTGTGAAGTATTACAATGAAAGGCACACACAGCATCGGGGGGGAAGAACTCTTTTCAAGTGATCATTCTGTAGATTAAGAAATGTGTATCATCAGACTGTCACTTTCAAGTGATCATTCTGTAGATTAAGAAATGTGTATCATCAGACTGTCACTTAAAGGTAACTGATAATTTCGTTAGGTAAAATCTGCTAATTTAGAAATCTATGCATGTAGAAGTCTTTCAGATGTAAATATAAATGAGGTTCTGAAGCGAGTTTACCTCATCTTGTAGTGATTCTTCAACCTGCTCATCATAGTCTTCGTCTTGTCTTTTAACTAAAACATACCCAAATAAATGTGTTTTTTAAAAACTGTTGCCAAAATGGTTATAAAGGATTATATTCAGAAATCAAAACATGGGAAACTTACCTTGTCTCAATTCTTGATTTTTAAAATGCTCTTCAAGTTTTGCTTTCAATATTCCTCCTAGTTCCTCAAAGTGTTCATTATTAAGGCATCCATCTCCCATTACTTCAATGCACTGATAAGGTTGAGAATAACACAATAAACCATAAGATTAGAAGGTTTTAAGAGTTTTCAAGCTAAGCTCAATTTTAAACTTAGGGCTATTTTCAATGAGTGGATGATATGGGTAAAGCAAATATTCTTTGGAAAATAGATGCTGAAGGGTCTTTAAACCAAGTGAGGCCACAATCTATCTATGGGAGCTGTGAATAGTTTGGATTGCTGAGAGTATGAAAAGCAGAACGATTTGAGGGGGAAGGAATAAGGAGACTGAATAGGTAGACAACAGAAGCAGGCACACTATTATTAAATAGATGCTATTTCAACAGTACAGATAAAAAGGCCAGCAGAAGATAAACAATGAGGAGAGAGGTTAGACTGAGCAGAGATTAAACCAATCCTGAAAAATAGATGCAATATGAGTGATGGCATCTAGGATGATGAGGGACATTATTGTGGCCAACTAGTGAGGACCGGAATCTGTGAGTGAGTACTCCTAAAAACAAGAGAAGGCAACACATATTAACAGTAAAGAGTGAGTATTTCAGTTAAAAAAGCATTTCTACTATGGTAAATAAAAAAAGCCCAATCCAGTATCTCTAATTTATCTAGAAAAACTAATAAATGCTCACACAACCTTCTGCCTAGTCTATTTAAAGGGATAATACTCACCTTTGCAAAAGAATGCATGATTTCTGAGAGGACGTCGGAATCTGGTTCTGTGCCGGTGGCCTTGATGAGAGCATCACACATAAAATGCCACATCTCCGTGAGATACTCAGGCCCGCGCACTCGCGCGCACTCCAGGAGAAGAGGCATGGATTCGGCTGCGGCCACTCGAACACGTTTTCTCGTTAAGGAAATGGAAGCACTGGGGGCCTCAAACACTGTCCTGTCCTTGTGCTCACGACTTGAACACGAGTGTGAGGCAACTCTTGTTTCTCTAACACAACTACCCCAAAATTTATGTTAAATATAACATGTATGTAAAAACAGAAGTCTCTCTGCCCACAAGACTATGTCTCTAATAAATCAACAAATAAAACAAACAATGGCTTTCCTGACAGAACTCTTTTGGACTTCTTCCTGCACTAGCCTTTTCTGTAAGTTTGTAAACAAGGTCCTGGTGACTTCCTGGTGACTCTGTTTAGCTGTGCAACGCTGCACCGGGCGGTGTTGGGTAAAGAAGTGCTCTGCAAACGATACTAGATAGGTTAGTCTCTGCGAAATACGACAAAGTGGCTGTGGAGTCCGAGGGACCTGGGTTTGGGTACTGGTTCTCCCTCTACCATGGGCTGGCCTTCATATCCCTATCCATAAAACTGAGTGATACACAAATTTACCAGACACATGTTTAATTACAACTTGGCGCTTTGTGCTGCTGAGTTGGAACTGACTCAAAGCTGACCTTCCAGCGGATTTTCAGAGCCAGTTAAACTGCACAGGAGGCTGCCCATCCTTCTTCCTCGGAGCGGCTGGTGGATTCAAACCACGTGCCTTTGTGACTGCAGTACAGCTCCTTACTACTAGGTCACGAGAGCTACCCAATTACAACTAGCATTATGTTAAAGAATTCTTGGATGGAACAGATGATTAACTTGCTCAGTGGTCAACTGAGAAACTGCAGGTTAAAATAAATTCAAATGAAGGTGCTTTGGAAGAAAGGCTGCTGAACTACTTTCAAAAATTCAGACCCCCAGACAGCTAGAGTCGCCCCGGGAGACCCCGTCCTCATCAAGCAGAGTGCACCTCTTCAACCATGCTGGGATCGACCTTATTCAGTCATCCTGACCACCTCACCGTGTTTGAGGTCACCACCTCTTCCAGGTTAAACATGCCCCTCTGCGGAGCAGGTCTCCTTCTCTCAAATGGTGGGTCCCACTACTCTTTGCCCCACTCGGCACCGAAGTCCTAGGTAGTTCTTATGTGCGGAGGTTCAAAGGAAGAGAAACATATCCACAGCTGTCCACTTCAACCACACACCTCACTGGCTCAGCAGACTGCCCCAAGAGGGATGCCAAACAGCGCTAGCCATTCCATTATCACCGAAGATGGTCTCGGTCCTGGGGTGTTGTGTAGTGCTGCCTTTTGCTTGCTTCTTCTTTGACCAGGTTCACTCATCCTGTCGGCAGTGGACAGAGAAATATGGAGGATGCCCATATTGGTCATGTAAAATTCCCAATGCCCGAGCTGAAAGCCAGACAAATATTTTTTGCATACTCAGAGAGTAGCTTTCAGATTCTCATTTCAGACCTCTGGGATCCCAGGGCACATTGGGGTTGAAGGGAAACTATCCCACTGGATATAGCTCTCGGCCCTCTGGCACAATGCACATCAGTCGTGAGTACTTTCTAGATGCCAACATCCAGGCACAAGTCTCCAAAAACATTCTCCGAGCTGAGCTGACCATGATAAAACAAATGTCCACAGGGCTACATACTATGCAACCCTTGGCCTGGTTCCAAGTTATTCAGAGCACCTTGTTATTTCAAGCAAAGTCAGATGGTGGCCAATCCTCATTCCCATTGCTTCCCGTGTGCCTCCTTACAACAGCCTTTGCGAGCTGCAGTACCAGTTGATTTCTCCAGGCCACACTCTACCCAAGCCTTAAGTAGCTCTTCTTATTTCCCTACCTTTTTGCTTTCTTACTTCACAGGATAAAAGAAATGATCAACCTGAACCAGCTGTTGTGACATCCATATTCTCCCTGGCTACAGAAGGAATACGCCGCCCTTTTTCTCACTGAGGAGGATGGGATGTCAGGCCAGGACCAAGGTCAAAGGGAGAACAAATGCTTCAAGGAATATCAACATGTCAACAAAGGGAGTGAACAGCCTCAACTACCATGGAGTGCCTCTCCCTTCCCTAGAAGACCACTCACCTGGCTAAACCACAAAGGCATGTCCCTCCCTAAAGACCCTCGCTATAAAATCCACCCAAACACCTTAGGGTGCAATATTTCCCTGATCTGTCACTCTGCCTGTTTTTCTCTCTCCAGATCACAGAATCCACCTGGAAGACCCCTTAATACAGCTTCTTTAGCTTCCTTAAAAAAAACAAACCCCAAAACAACCCAAAACCCAAAACCAAACCAAAACACACACCCTATAACAAAACAAAAAACCCCAAAAACTCTGCCCCTGAAAGTCCTACAATGCACACCCCCTAAAGACACTGAGTGGAGTGATTCGACAACCGGTTTCATGCTATGGTGCAAACACTATGTCAATGATGACATACACTTCTGGTAATATGAAGTCTAATGTTTAAAAAAGAGCTACAATTTTACAAACTACATATGTTTTGTGTTCACTCATAGGATATCATCATGGAAATAAAATTTCAGTAAAGGGACCATCAGCTTGACGACTTGTTCCGTATACTCCACAAAGCCCTCCTTCAACTCCTTGGCGTAGCACACCTGAAATAAGAGAATCGGCAAGGGAGGGAGGGAACCAAGTTCCAGGTTAGCTTTAAGGTGTCAATATTTTTATCAAATAACAAAATCAAAAGACTATCCTGACTAGAGTTACGCTTACAATTGTATGCAGGAATGTCAAGTCAGTTTTCTAACGAAAAAGAATATTAAACAGGGAAGAAGCCATGAAATGAAGTAAGACTAGAATTATGATTTATAAGCCATACCTTTTATTTCTTAGGTATGAGAAAACAGAAGTTAAAATGATTCTATTTCAAGGAAAATACATAAAAGAATTAAAGAAAAATTAAGTTTATAAACATACTCAAATTATAATAAAATTATAAATATAAAAAAAATTTAAAAGTTTTTATTATAAATTAGTAGCAAGCAGACTTATATTTTAGAGAATTAAAGAAAAAAATTTTTAATGGTGAAATAGGAAAAACACGTTTCCTATACATTATTCTAAGATCCACTTTAATTTCGTTTTATTTAACCGCCAAATTTCTTATACCATAATTCCCTTATTTTTTTTTAAAAAAATTACCTCATTCCTCTGCCTCAAACAAAAAGGAAATAAAAAACAACTTGTATCAATAACGAGAACTTAGGTTATACAGAACTCTGAGAACTTATATATACAGTAACTACGCGAGATCATAAAAATCAACATTTTTTATCCCACCAGTTTTGTTTCGTTTCTCACTTCATGAGCACATTTTTTGCTCACTCAAACACTACTTGCTGGCTGCCTGCTACCCTCTGGACTCTGTTAACATGCCGGAAAAGCAGCAAGTAAGAGACAAACCACCGCCTCCACAGATCTGCATTCCAAGCGCTCATGGTGACTACATGCCACCACTCCAGGTGCGCGCATTTCTTTCTCATTATCCTGAGAGGTATTCAGGTTATTACTGTTGTTATTAACAATGGTACTAATATGGCAAAGGTTTATCCATATGATATTTTCAAGGTGGATCATTAAAAAGATTATTCATTCACTCACAGCTGACCGCAACCCCCTGCAAGTTTTCAAAGGCTCTAAGTGCACAGGAGAAAACGGTCCCTCTTCCTCCCTTAGAGCCACGGGTGGATTCAAACTGCCAGACGGGCACCACTTCTCAGCTAGCAGCACTAACGTCTACTGACTATATCATCACAGTGCCCTAAAAAGGTTCCTGTATTTTACCTCTTACAGACTAAATTCTTTGTTCTTCAAAACAATCTCCATTAGCAACCTGAAAAGCATTCTGTGAAATATATGTAAATGCATCAGAAAAAGTTGCAAAATCAAGTCTAAGAAAAAGTATGATGACCCACCAACATCTGGCAAGCAGTTGATTTCTCCTCCAGTCCTGCAGTTTTAATGCCAAAACTCTGCTGGTCTCCAAGATTCACAAATTCCCAACCATCATCATCACTCATATTCTCCATGTCTTGGGCTATAAGTAGTAAAGAAAAAAAATTTGTACTACACACTTTACAAAATAATATCATCTTACAAGTGACATGTTTCCATAAAGATACCTACTGTCTAAAAGAGCTACTTCAGGTTTAATGGAAGCCGTCTTCATTAAAGGCCCCATAACAACTGGAAGGTACTGTTGAAATTCTTTTCCAAGGATTTTGCACATTCTCGCCCATGCTGAGATCATGTAAGAGATCTAGAAAGAAAATGAAACTGATTTAAAAACAAGGTTTTTATCAAGTTTCCATTTTCTTAGAAACACAGCTTTACTAGTCTGTTCATGGTAATTTCAGCAATAAGTGCACTTTCCATTTTTATATACTTAACAGCTTGTCAACTATTAGAAACAAATTTTCTCTGAGGAAGCCCAGTTTTCTTTTTCTTTGGATCCCTACTCCACTCATTACACGTTTTTTTTTAAAAGAGTAAAATAGTAAAGATTATGGAACAGACCTCTCTCCTTAAAAGCAAATTAAGCACATCTTTTCCTATACAACATTCTGTCCAAGCGCTATTGTCTAAAGCACTTCCTCTCCTATTACTGTGTTTACATAAGGACTTAATCACCTGCAAAGCCCTTGTAGTCAATCTGCTTTGTTCTCTCCCTCCCTCCCTCCCTTTCTCTCTCTCCCCTAAGGTGTCAGTAAACAAACACAATTTTAAATGTAAAACTAAAGCTCATTCATCCCCCAAAATGCATGGTGCTTTCCTTATGACATGCGGATATGAAAGTGAATGATACGCGTATAATCCTACTGTCCTTTTGAAAGCCTAACAGTCCTCTCTTTCTCCCCAGTGTTAGCAATCTGGTATATATTTAGAGCTATTTTCCATTTAGAACAAAGAAAATAAAGGCTTTACATACTACTCCATGATACTTATTTTATCTATTTCAGCTACATGGCCGGGGTTGAGGAGGTTATAAAATGCAAACTTAAATCAGGCTTGATGAAAACTACTAATATTTACCAGGCTTTTACAACAATATTATAATCCAATGTCCAAGGTTCAACCACAGAAACCCCTCATTATTATCGACTCATAAAGAGCAAACTCGAGCGAGTTTTAGGAGGCAATAAACTGCACAGGAGAGGCGTCACCTCAGGGTGAGTGGGGTGATTCCTTATGGACCATGTCACTGGGGCTCCCCAAGGGCACAGATGGAAAATCAAGAAATTCTTACAAAAGTAAAGAGCCTAGCACCATATGGAGTTTGGAAAAGCCTTTATAAAGCACTGATGATGAAGTAATTTAGAGTAGACACCGTGGGTGCAGTAGCTATGGGGAAAGAACAGGGATGTTTAGAAGGCTATAACTGGACCACATGAAGTCAAAGGCCTGAGAGCAGAACTAGATGGAGCCTGACTACCACTGCTGACCACGCCAGAGGGATCACAGAGGCCCTGGAGAGAACGGGGGTGTGGAGCAAACTGCCAAAACATGGCACTGACTAGGTTACTGATCTGATAAGAGACTGGTGGAACCCCAAGACTGTAGCCCTTATTCAACCTTTGAACCTAAAACAAAACTTGCTGCCAGGGCTCAACTTTCAGACAAATACACAGGCCCATAAGGTGACCAATAACATCAGCAAAGCGTTTACACTCTAAGACGGCCAACCACTGAAGGGCAGAAGCGCAGCACCTACCCAAAGATAAAGCTGAGAGGAGAGGAGGAGTAACAGAAATGAGAGAATGTGCGACAAGTACAGTTACACTGAGGTGTTGTAATTAATGCTAGAAGATGTCTATGAATGGCAAACTAATTTGCTTTGTAAACCTGCACTCATTTCACGATTGAAAAAAAGACAGCAATGAGGATTTTTGAGAAGAAGTGGGAAATAAGGAAAGGAACACTCGAGAGAATGCTTAGATTCTAGTTTGGACAGAAGTGACGTGGAGATTGCCATGTTCCCTGCAATTGTGGAGTTTTCGAGATTTTTATTGTTAAGAGAGGTATAGAGACATCCAGAGGTGGCCAGTTACAGCTGAGACACACATCTGAAATATTAGAGGAAGATCTGGAAATCGCATGTATAGAAAGGAGAAATGAAGCTGTGGCTGTAGATACACTACTCGGGAAGAGAGAATAACAGGACCCAAGACAAACCCTTGAGAAGCGCGAGAACTCCAGGAGTCAGTCAGAGGGCGAGGGAGAGGCCTACACAAGATGGAGAAAACAGGGGTACAGGCAACAGAAGGAAACCGGGGGCAACTGTCTCTTAAACAAAAGGCTGATATTATCTGGAATCCTAATGCTCTTTTCTTTTTTTAAAGTAAAAGCACATTTAACTTTGTGTTACTGGCAACTCAAATGGATCAAGGAAAAGATGTCACAGCTGCTTTACCTGAGGGTCATCATCTTCCATATCGTTGAAGTCTGTCTGGGTCTTCAGTAATAATTGCATTACATCTGATGCATCTTGCATGAACTAGAGTATTTGGAAATATTTGAAAGAATTACTATGCGTATCACCTAATTTCGCTTCTTATGTAATTAATCATGAAACTTCCCCAAACTAAATGTGACTTTTCCCACAGCCTCACAAATGTTTACTAAGTTTAAAATTGTTGTCATTTAAATTGCAACAGATTTCATGTTCTCCTAGAAAAACACTGGCTAGGTTCTCAGTGTTCCACAAAAACAATGCATAAAGTCAGGTAATACTGATGCTGCTTTTGGAGGAGACAGAGGTTCTATTTGATAGGTCTGAGGGTCAGAAGAGTAGATGACAGAAGAATTTCCCTGATACATTTCAGATTAACCAAAAAAAAAAAAAAAAAAGACTGGCATGTTTCCAAGCATGTTTGAATTTTAGAGTAAATAACCATATGGAATGCCACATGCCTCCCAAGACATCCTGATCGCAATACCTCTACAGCTTAAGTACTTAATACTATACAGATCACTCACCTTTTCCTTCCCAACAGCCAGACCAATGAGGCTGATGCACTCAATGGTCTTTCCTCTCAGAAGCCTGAGTTCCTTCTGAACTGCATTCTCAACAATGTGCTTTAGTGATGGCATAAATAAGTCATAGTAGGGGACAAATTTTTCTTCTGCTGTGTCTGCAACTGATGCAATGGATGTCACAACTTGTTCCAAAACTAACTTGGTGCCTTTCTGAATCAGCTAGAAGGAAGACACATACAAAATACATCATTTAGAAAAAGCAAAAGGGAGAGAAAACATTCAACTTTGAAGCAATGGTAAAATCTGAAAAGTTTAACGGCTGCTGTCAATGCAACTACTACACTCAAGATAAGACTTGCTTTAAGCTCCTACAAGCGTGTCTCTCTGAAAGTGGAGACTACAGGTTATGGAGTAAGTTTCTATAAACCTAATCCATATAAACGAACTACAAACTTTGTATTCCCTTAAATATTTTTTATCTATCAAGCTTTTAATGCCCTCTTTTCTTACTTAATAGACATTACTGTGCTTAATAACTGCTCTACTACATTATGAAGAAAATGTCCTTTTAGGCCTATTCTTGTGTCTTAGTGTCTGTCTCTCATCAGAAAATACAAATGATCCCTTGTCGCTGTCTTTGTCATTTAGTTCTCTACTGGTAAAACATATGAGAGGATCAGGGGAGCTCTGGTGGCCTAGTGGCATGAAGCTGTACTGCAATCCCACAGATAATTCTGTTCGAATCCACCAGATGCTCTGCTGGAAAAGGAGGGGCAATCTCCTCCTGTACCTGTTGGATCTGATTTGACGGTACAGACACACACAAAATAATAAAAAAACATAACACCCCCCCAAAACAACCAAAAAACAAAACGCCCTAAAACATATGAGAGGATCATTTCTCCTGATCTAGCTAGTAATTAATCCTTCCTGAGTATGTGCACCTGGACCTCTGCCGTCACGTGGATGTAGAGATATACACCCATAGTCAGTGCTACAGAGTCAGGACCAACTATAGCCGACCCTCCAGCACGTTTGAAGGCTGTTAACTTGCACAGGAGGAAACGGCTCTGCTTTCTTCCTCTGAGCAGCTGGTGGATTTCAACTGGTGGTACAACACTGCCTTTGGTTTACTTGTTATACGATTCTTTGCCGAGTCATACATACCTGGAGTAAATGGGACTTTATTCATTTGCCAAATTGACTACAATCATGCTTTTAAGAAGCATTAGAAGCATTTTGCATTAGGAGCTCTGTGACACCTTTAAGAGGTTACCTTACATTCTGTTTCTGCAACTTAACACCTGTCCCATGGTCAAGGTCTTGGCCGTGCCTCTGATCCCAGGAGTGGCTTTTCTCCTCGGCCAGACCAGTAAGGCTATTATTCTCTTTGTGCAACTCTTGCTCACAAATTTTATCTTCCTTTTCCACCTCCTTTCAGCAAGGCATTCTTTCAGGCTTTAATCCCACTGGCCATCTGAGACAAGGGGCGGGGGGACCCTCCTGACTCTGTAGACGTCTCCCCAAATCTAGCTTAAAAGTCACTTTTTATCCATTTATTTAAAGAATAAATTCCCTGTCACGTGGTTTCCCTTTCTCTTGCTTTGAGATACTCTGAAGTTCGCTTTATCATGTGCTTACTCGACTTTCCTGGACAACTTTAAACTCCTTTTTTCCCGAGATATCATCTTTTTAAAATCTTCCTTGTTCTCTGCTTAATTCTTTCTCATCAGCATACCCTGGCTTGAAAGAAAACCTAGTCCTTCCTCACAACCACTTGAGATGCGCCTCTCGCTCTTGCCGACACCCCCTGTCACGCATGCTGGTACATTTAACACCATTTGATCAGTTTTCAGACCTCAGACATCGGTGAGCAGACGTAACAAACTGGAGTTACTGACTCTAACTACAAACTGGCTTCACACCTAAGCATCCAGCCTTAACTGTTAGGCTTTTACAATTTTAAAGCAAAGGGTATGCTTTTCTTATTTCTGCTACCCAGGCTAAAACGATGGTAAGCACTCTCACTTCAACCTTTCTCAGCAGGAAAAAAGCCAAGCTTTCCTGGGCAATGCTTTCTACAACAACTCGTTTCCTCTATTTACCAGCAAACCTCCTAGACAATGGATATATGGTCACATTCCCTTAAAAGGTTTCCTTTTAGTAAAAAAAAAAAATCCTTTTTTGGTTTCTACCTCATGAAGTCAATTTTTTCCATTATTAACATTTCACACATCATTGCAGAAAAAGATTCTTCCGAATTCACACAAAACAAGAGTTTAAAACTGCCTTTGCCTTAATTTTAAGGCAATTCATACGTTGATTTGTCTTTCTCCATTCCAATCAGCCTGTGCTTTTGGTCAAGCCTGAATTCTCTCTACTACTCAGAACAGGGTGGAATTCTTTCCATAAGCTTCTACCTTTCCATTTTTTTTAGGCTGAATTTTTTTCCAGGCCTTATTTATCATCAAATCTATCTACAGAACATGAATACCGTAAAACATACCTCTTGAAGCTTAAGTACCATGATGGAATGCAGATGCTTCACCAGATTATCTAAGTAGGGGATCAGCAATGACTTGGGGCAGTCTTCAGTGAAGTTAATGAGGGCAGCCGCGGCATGGGCCTGCACGCGCTGATTGCCTTGGTCCTCCATGGTCTGCAGAAGAGCTGCAATCACCTGTGAAATCACACCAAACACACACACTTTAAGATGCCGTCTCCTCATGAAAGCTCATCCTCGGTGTCTTGAGGATTTGCTACTTGCCTTTTCGTGGAATTTCTTTTGGAAACCAGGTGCAAAATCTGTAGCCATCTGTCCCACTGCATTACAGGCCGCATACCTTACTCGTGGATGCTGCAATGTAGAGTCCCTTAGATTAGTAAAGGTACTATTTCCAAATGAGACTACAGTAATAATTATGATCAGAGATTCACTGGTACTTACAGGATCCTGAAGAAAAAGCAAAACAAAATTTACTATCTCATTTAGAATTCCTTCCATCTGCTGGTGGCATCCTTCACCAATGGCAGATAAAGCCATCAATCCTGCATGCCGGTATTTCCAGTCAGCTAGGGAAAGAATCATACACACAGGAATAGCAATTAGAGAATCAATGATGTTATTCTACAAAACAGTCTCCAAATCTAGAGAGAAATTTTTAAAAATGCATTTATTGAAATGAAAATGGACTTAAAAAGATTCTGACTGATTAATTTGCTGTAATAGTCAAAGTAGTTCTGTCACATGGACATGTTTAAGCCAACAGTTAAAAGGTAATATGGATATAAAAAGCTCACCAGGATTTCGAACAAGTATTTATATTCTCCTTTGCTTCACTAAAATTTATTTTATAAGCATTATTTAACTAGTGCCAACAACTGGCAGTAGTTAGGTGAATTTGGAAACAATTCTGATAAACAGAGAAATGAACAAAGAAAATAGTAATTATTTCCCTAAGATTTACTCTGAAGAATAAACATCTGGATTAGGTCACATCATGCGCTGTTTACAGAGTATGGATTTACGGATTTTTCCAGTTACATTTTCCTAAAATGACAAAAGCCCCTAAGGTGCAAAGATGCTGTCTTTAAAGACTTGTTAAAGAATTAATAAACTTAATATCATAAATATGGATAAATGTAAATAAAAAGAAATACTGAGCAACATTACTTAATATGCTAATATTAGTATTTGCTTGAGTTAATAGAATACTGGCAAAAGATGCTTCTTTTACTATGTCATAATCTACTGTAATGTATAATTTTCCTGCTATGAATTTGCAATAGTTGGATTTACTACACTGCTTCCTTCAAATTCATGAACAAAGCAAGATATGCATGAAGCTGGGCTCTGTGTGTGACAAACATTCTAAAGCAGGGCCAGCAGACCCCCAGGAGCCCCAGAGACACTTACAGGGAGTTCAAAGCACAGAACTATTCTTATAATGTTAGAGCATTGTTTTTAGTGCTATTTTTAGATAGTGTCCAATATAAAAAACATCAACATTTAAACAAAATAAACCCACATGAAACACCCTCCCTGCAAGAAGCTGCACTGCAATCTCAGAGGTGCACGGTTCGAATACACCAGATGCTCTGCTGTAGAAGGAGGAACAATCTCCTCCTGTATCAGTCAGATCTGATTTGATGGTACACACAAAAAATAATGAAATTAAATTAAAACAAACAAAAACCAACACCCTCTCCGATCCTCATTAATTTCAAGAGTGTAAAGGGATCCCTAGGAAAAAAAAATTAGAACCTAGGGGAGCTCTGGTGGCCTGTTGGCAAGAAGCTGTATTGCAATCCCAGAGGCGCACGGTTCGAATCCACCAGATGCTCTGCTGAGGAAGGAGGGACAATCTCCTGTACCAGTCAGATCTGATTTGACAGTACACACACACACACACACACACACACACACACACACAAAAATAATAATTAAAAAAAAATTAGAACCTTTGCTATAAGACAAACTGTAGAAAAACTACAGGAGACACAGTATCTCATTGGGAAGCATAAAATGCACATAAAGATGAACACTGCTACATTAGAGTTTACTGAACTAAGTCAATAGAAACAACCGTTAGTGTTAAACATTAAAATGTTCTGATAAATGTTTCTACTTGGTCTTAAGTACACAATAAACCATTTAAGTAAAAAATTTTCAATTGTGAAATAATGATCCTAGGTAGTGTATCAAGAGCTGATGCAGTCTTTTGCATAATGCACTTAGTAAGTACTTATTGAGGTAGAAAAAGGTCCCTATTTGGTTTGAGAAGTCTCCTATTTTCCCAGTGTGCCGAGTTCCTGGAAGTATGGTCGGCACAGTGTGACTGGAATGGGAGGGGAGATCAGAAGTTAACTGCTTTTCCCGTTTGGACTTTAAGATTTGCTCAAACGTATACATTTAACAAAGGTTGACAAGATCAACCTTTATTGAGAGTTTACTGCCATTTATGAAAAGCTTTCCGCAACCCAGTTAGTCAATTTTAAGAGGAACCCAATTCAGTCAAGTCTGTTAATGACAGCTCATCCCCACACCTTCCTTCAACAGGTTTAGTGCTTAACCAACTTTTCTGAACTCTTGGCTTCACCTTCCTCTAAATAGAAAAACTGGATTTCTTCTTTCTATTAACTATTGATCAGCAATTTAAATCTTTGATCTGTAGATTAAGCAATCTGTGATGCTGATGAAGTTTCTGTACTTTTTCACAAAGAGCTTTAAGATAAAAAAAAGTCAAAAACCACCCAGGCATCATATCTCATCACTGAAAAGGAATTATGGTTTATGATGCCTTTTCAGTATAAGTAAGAATCTTAAAAAGGAGCCAGGAGAAACCACAAAGGAGGTAGTTTTCAATATTCCATGTTCCTTGGAAGCTGGTTGTCTATTACTCTATTACATCACTTTAGGATGAATGGCTGAACCGTCAAGCCTCTCTCTAGATTATCTATCCTATAAATACATTCACACAAGTGAGCCGGTTTCTGCACAACAGTGCATTTATCAGTGCTGTCTGTAATGAACAAAAACTAGCAACATTTATTTTATGTAAGTATACTACTATTTTATACATAGAATCTAAATATTTCTGGCTAGAGGGTAAATCTATACAATTTTTTCCCTATCCACCAAAGCCAATCCCGAAGGGGCAGAACGGAATACTTTTGTGGTCATGAAAGCCACTATTCCCCCACTCTGGTATTCATAGGACAAATAACTTACGATTTTGAAGCATTTGCATAATGTGTTCCTTGATCATTGGGAGAACGAGTTTTCCACCAAGTCCACAAGCCATTCGGTCTAAAGCACTCTCACCAGCAACTGCATTGCTAATATCAAAAAGACTTGAGTTCAATATGCTTGAAATTTTTAAGAGAAAATATAAGTCAGGCTTTCAATTATAAATGAGTTCTAAATGATCAGGCGATCTTGCAGAAAACAGAGTTCTGGTGGTCTAGCTAGTGGTAAGGAACTGTGCTGCCAACCTGAAGGCACTTGGTTTGAGCCCACCAGTTCTTCTGCAAGAGAGGGATGAGGAATTTACTGCCTCTAAAGACCTGCTGGAAGGTCAGCCAAGGGTCACTTCTGACTCGACTGCACAGGATGACGATGACGTATTATTCTAAACTCCTATTTAAAAATCCCTTTTAAATGTGGCCCTTTGTCTCAGTCTGCAGATTCAATTAGCTGCAGTGTGAAACAAAGACTAAAGGAAAAAGTAATTAAGTGGTCAAAGGAAATTCTTAAAAGTTGAGAGGGGGTCTAAGTGCTTTCTACATAGCACTTACATTGTATTAGACACTAAGTAATCTGGAGATGATTTCAAGTATATGGGAGGATACAAGGAGGTAATATACAAATGCTATCCCATTTCATACAAGGGATTTGAGAATTCATTGATTTTTATGCTTCCAAAGTGTAAATTGTTACAAACACTGAGGAATAATAGTTCTCTCAAAGGCAGCTTCTGACATTCAAAACTCAAGTATAAAGAAGAGTTTCCTTTCTGGAAACAGATCCTTCAATCAATTAATAAATAAATTCAATTAATGAACAGAACCAAGAAAAAGGGAAAGGTCCTGAAAATACATTATTCCCTCTCACTGTGAGTTTATTCACTTACCCTAAAGCGGCAATACCAAAAATTAACCATAAGTGAATGAAAATGCAAGAAAATAAATGGAATGGCTAGACTGCAGTTGACTTTGCTTAGCTTACAATCTTCAGCTGTGTTCTGTCCAGACCAAAAGAATTATAAATGATCTTTAGGATGGATTCTTTAAGATACTGACCAATACATTTAGGTTTTATTTAGAGATGAAATCGTATGCACCTAATCCAGGGAAGTTTTTAGACTGCATGTATTTAAATGCTCATAACAGAGCAGGTGGCAGTTAATCACAGTAAATGGACCAGGACAAGCAAACACATGCTGGACGCAGTCGTCCAGCCTTCCTGGTTACTTCCAGTGGACCATTACCTACATACATTTCAAAACAGCATTCAAGTCAGCAGCTAGTCTTTTTTAACAATGTGATTAAACTTTTTTAAAATGGCCCATATATTTTAAAAGTCAAGTGCCTGTAACCTTTATCTAGATCCCAGTTTTTCATTGGGATATTTTCAGGGGTCTTTAAGAAGGGTGATATGACACAATGGAAAGAATAATAGAGATAGTGTTAACGGACTATGTAACCACAGCCTAACTCCACTCTATTAGGTATAATATACTTGTAGTAATACTAAGATGATCAGTGAAAATAGAACTGTGAAATTATACTTCACACACTTACTAAGACACCATCATTAGGATACAGCAAGTAGAATTTTATTTTCCATAGGAACCTGTTTAAAGGTTCCAAGTCTAAGCAGTGATTTCAAAGTTAATAGTGCACTCATTTTGAATCTACTCTATCTCCTGTATCCTAATGTTAAAGATCAGAATATCAGTAACATATGGTGCTTTTGCAGAAAATTTTGCTGATTTAGCATTTCAAAGTGAGGTCTTTACACCTAAAGGTACTTATTACACTAAAAAATCTTTATACAGAAGGCAAACTAAAATGTCTTGGACAAAAGCTGGACTAAGAGAGTTAAGAAAGATAAAGCAAATCTTTTATTCACAGTGTTTCACATCAAAAGTTCTGACACCAGTGATCCTGGTTTAGTTCTACGTATCATCTTTCCTCTCCTGACACAGTTATAGTTTCATATGTTAAAAGAACCTTTTATTTTCACTACACATACTAATACAAATTATATAGGAATAAAATAAAATACTAGTCAAAGAATGCGTATCATGGAAACATATATGCTCTCACACTCCAAACTTAAAAAGCTGCATGTGGGTTTAGAGACGGCAGCAGTGTCGTTATTTGGACCGTGGGATTACCTGTCAAAGTCATCGTCTTCTAGTTCATCAGCGTTGGCCCAGTCCTCATCCTCTTCTAGATCCACCATCATCGCCAACATCTGGGGAACTAAAGGAAACGACATCGCCATTTAAAAACAAGAGTTTTAAAGGCAGAAGTACCTCTGGGAGACAAAAAATTGTGCCCTCAGATCTGGTTTTTACTGTGGTGACCTCTGACCATGGTCCTTGCCTTAAGTGCCATGGAGTCTGCACACAAAAGCAGAGGCAAACGCTGTGACGAGGTCAATGTCTATCATTCCCAAATTATACGGACTCCATCATCATTTCAAGGTTTTACTTTTCATAAATGACATATTATATGCATCCGTTACCAATGCACTTTTTCTCTAAATACATGTTCACTTCGTTATAGTCCATTTCATTATTCATTCATTGCTGTACTGGGGCATTTCTCCCTACTGTAAAATCTTCCTTGATTTCTACAGGTCTCCTAATTCATGAGGGAAGAGTTTTGGGTATGAAAGTCTTATGAATATTTTCTATCATTATAAATCATTCACTGCTGTCTAAAACGATTGTACAAACTTACAATGACTTCGAAAGCATTACGAGGAGGCCTGTCCTGCACTGCATGTGTTAAGGTGGTCTAGAACGACGGTGGCTTGGTGGGAGAAAGACGTGCAATTTCCTCCCTGGTGGCTGACAGCTATTATCCTCATCATCACTCTGAAAATTTTAAATCCTATTAACTCAATATTTAATATACACAATGGAATACAGCACAATCCACCATGACCAATTTACTTGTTATTCCAAGTCTAAGGCGTCTGCAAACTCTTTAAGGCAGAGTCACAGCGTCAGGTATGTGCATGGAAGTATCTACTGGGACGCGAATTTCTCCAGTTATCAGACTCTGAAAGCACGCTCAATTTATTCTCAGCAAAGCTGTGAAATGACATAATCCTTAGCAAAAGTATCAAATAAGTTGGCCATCTTAACACAGAGAACTACTTTAAAGAATTTTTACTTACTAGTCTGGGCGACAATATTGGTATGCTTTCTTAACATAGCAGCCGCTGTTTCCGAGAGCGTCACAATCACCTCCAGGGCAAGCTGGCGCTGCATGTTATTGAGACTCGTGTCTCCACACAACTACAGAGAACAAGGATTAGTGAACATTTAGTAGTTAAGACTAGGAACTAAAAGGCATAACTGATTTATCAGAAGAAGTGACTTTACCTTTAGACTTAGCTGTAAGGTAGCTTCTAAATGAGGGCGCAAATACTTCGGAACAGTATCTGCAATCTCAACGAGGGATTTGAGGACCGAGTCGTCGTTCTGGTAGCATGAATCATTTACAGCCTATCAAAGAGAAAACAACAAAAAGTTTGTGTATACTTTGTTCCTATAGTGTTTAAAGAGTCACACTATGAGGCCTTATTACTCAAAATATTTTTAGGAGGGAAAGAAACATTACTAAACAGCATTTTTAGCCAAGTAACAATGTAGCTATTTATATTATGCAAATAAGCATACATATATCTTTCTTTCAGTTAATGTTACCAAAAATACACAAAATGGAAGATTGATATTACCAGTGTATTTCTTCTCTATGACAGAGGTATGTAAACAGGCATCTATGTATATACACACACCCCTCTGCTTATTTTAAATTGATGACCACTATAAGTTCTAGCTAACACTATAACTCTAAATTCAGAGGAAGAAGTTTCTATTAGTTAATATTCTGTAACTGACCTAAATTATTCCTAAATTGATGGCATGGTGAGAAAGCTCCTACTAAACAGAATCACTTTTTAAGACAATTAGAAACTTTCCATCTCAGTTTGACACCCTAACCCAGTGGCTGTCTCAACATGATGTTAACTTCTCCCAGCAAGTTCTGCTGTCACAATGACTGAATGTGGACAGAGACCAAGGATTCTATGTGGCCTGTGCCTGCAATGCAAGTCCTTCAATGAGGAACTAACTATCCTGCACATCACATGATCATGTAGGCATCTGACATTTACAAAAGCAGAAAGACGGATGGTCTGAATGTAGAACCTAATTTAAAAACTATCTGTTGCCTGACTGCAATGATCAGAGGTGGTCTGTTGGCACAGAGGGTGCATGGAGCTAACAGGAAGACGGCCTACTGGAAGCCAGCAGCACTCCTCGGAAGGATGGGGCAGCCTGCTCTGCTAAAGTCTCCAGCCTCAGAAATGCTACGGTTCTACTCTGTCCTGTGACATAGGCCCTGAGAGGTAGAATGACTGATTGAATGCTACTGGCTTCTGGTTTGGTCTTTAATGCACATTATTTTACCCCAAAGAATGTAACTGGTACTTTTCAGGTAGTCAGGCTTTCACGTGGAAATCCACAATCTCTTTTCTTGTTTGTGCTCAGTTAACACCGTAAGAATCACTGCTTACTCAGAACAAGAGAAGAATAACTTGCAAAATACTATTATCCAGTATCAGCTTGTTTGCTGATTAAGATTGAGGACATTTCTAGGAGATAATAGTGTGAATATACTATAAACTACTTAATTAACAATATAAACTTTTATTAGCTTCTATCAGTAAAGAAGCAAGGTTCTAGTCCAATGAGGATGGCAATTCAGCCCTACCATTTACTATCACTACAGTAGCTTTGACCTCACAGGTTATTTAGCTGGAACAATGAAATAATTTGTGATTAGATAATCGCTAAGACCAATTGAGCTGTTAAGCATAACTGCCTATAGCATTGACTTTATAGTAAATTTCTGAAGCCCTAATCTAAATATGTTAAGAGATTAAGCTTTAGCAAACGTAATAAACCTAAGCTCAGGAGAACAAAGACTCGTACCCTCTGCGCACTGCTGAGACCTGTGTCTGTGGACAGAAGGCAGTCACTGCTTACTCAGTCAACGAGTGTGCTACACAACTGACAGAAATGGAAATGAAAACACCCTGTAAACATGCAATGACCATCCTAGTGATACCGTCTGCTCACCTGTAAGAATCCAGGCAATAAGTCTGCAAAATGTTTGAACAGAGCAACATTATGCTCATTTGCAAGTATAAATGCAGCTGTAGCTCGAGCAGATAATGTCCTGATCTAGGATGAAGAGAACAGAAAAGATGACAAGTGTTTGCTGGATCCGACTGTTCTGACTCAAGCTGATTTTCCCCCCTTATATCAATAAAACCAGTACTAAAAGTTAAAGTATAGAATAGTCTCCCCATATACAAAAACATTTTGTAAATGTCCGTTAAGTGTTAACTGAAATGGTTACCGATGGATGCTCCTGATCTTGCATACACTGAACTAACATCCGTTTGATGACGTCTAAATAGTGCTGCTGCTGGTTCCCAAAAATTCCAGGGAAGTTCCTAAAAAAGGATCCAAAGAAGCATGCTTTAAAAACGGCATTTAATGTTAGTGCTGTGCCAGTCAGCTACAACTTCTGAGTAAATGTTTACCTCAGATACAGGTATTAATCCCCAAGGCTGAAAATCTCAACCTGTCCTCTACTTGAGTCAGGTGAATGGAAACATCCCACCAGAGGATTAGGCTCTACAGAGGCCACCCAGATGCTATACTACACAACCCCCTGCCTCGCGCCCTTCTGTTTTGGCGGAAGGATAACCAGGACTGTGGAATGAGGACAAGAGCCACTGTGTGTGTTTCATATAGTTAACAAACGGAAATACCACTTTCTGAAGATCATCTGCTCCTACTGGTACTCCAGATTATTTTATTTTAAACTGGTAAACAAAATGGTTAAACTACATGGTTCTAACTTGTTCCTCCAAGCTTGACTACTGATATAAATAAGATACATACAGCTTTGCTTATTCTCTCCTTTGATGATCATTAAACAGTGTATGATCTTGAGAAGTCATAAATTCAATTACATTAATTTTAAATGAATGAGAGTAATTATGGCAAAACAAAAGGGTAAGAAGTTTAAATGCCAATTAGTTTCATTCTAAGCTTTTAACGAAACTCATAAATAAGTTTGTTAAAAAAGAAATGAAGAAGCCTTTCTAAAGATACTATTTTAATTTTAAAAAGTAAAACTAGGCTTATCCTATCAACTAAAATATTTTAGAGATCAAGATACCAAATTAACAAACAAACCAACAGACTGAGGCATATATACCAGAATATGTGCAGTGCAGCTTCCCGTAGTCCCACATTTTGAGAACTGATGGAATCAAAAAGGAACTTCAAACACTCAGGCCACTGATTGTTACCATCTTCATCTAAAAGTAAAAAAATCCAAGCAAAATAAAGTACACGAAGTCAAAATGTCACGTACATACAAACTCAACTCCATTCACTGCACTGCCCCGTTCACAGTATGTAGTAAGGTAATGCAACAGTACTCACTCAAGAGTTTATAAAATTAGGCCACAAAAGCTTTATGTATCTAAGTTACTTACACAGCTGTGCTGGTGACAACAGTGCGGTGGTTATGTGTTAGGTTGATAAGTGAAAGGTAAGCAGTTTGAGGGCACCATTGCTCTCTAGAACAAAGATGGGCAATATACTCCCAAGACTCACAGTCTTGGAAATCCAATTTTGGAGGGTCGTCATGGATCAGAGCTGACTTAAGGGCGATGGACTCAGTTTTGGTGCTGAGGTCCCATGAGCAAAGATGTGCAGCAAGATTTTGTAAGTTTTAAAAGTTTATAAATATCTATGATTATTAAAGACTTTAAAAAGTGGGCAAAGATAGTATTTGGTAATACGATTTTGACTCCAAAATAATATGTTTCAAGGTGGAGAAGACCTAAGAATGAGGTTCTAAGACTCATGGGAAATATTTACAGGGTTATGCGGATGACACAACCCTGCTTGCTGAAACTGAGGACCTGAAGCGCCTGCTGCAGAGAGTCAAGGACTGCAGCCTACAATATGGATTGAGGCTCAATGTCAAGAAGACAAAGATTCTCACCACTGGACCAACTGGCAGCATCAGGATGGATGGTGAAGAGACTGAGATTGTACACAGCTTTAGCTTGCTTGGCTCCACAGTCAACAGTCTTGGCACCAGCAGCCAGGAAATTAAAAGGCGCATTGCCATGGGGAAGTCTGCTGTTAGGGACCTCTCCAAAGTACTGAAGAGCAATGGTGTCTCTCTGGAGACTAAGGTGCGTCTGATACAGGCCATGGTCTTCGCAATCACTTGTTATGCATCAGAGAGTTGGACAATGACCAAGGAGGATAGAAGGAGAATTGATGCCTTTGAGCTGTGGTGCTAGAGAAGAGTATTGAGAATACCATGGACTGCTAGGAAAACAAACAGATTTGTCCTGGAGAGGGTTAAACCGGGTGGTTCCTTGGAGGCAAGGATTCTGAGGCTCCGGTGTAACATACTCTGGACATGTTGTGAGGAGAGACAGGTCCTTGGAGAAGGACATCATGCTTGGGAAGGTGGAGGGACAGTGCAGGAGAGGAAGGCCCTCTATGAGGTGGATTGATTCAGTGACTGGGATAATTGGGATGGGAGTGTCAGAGACAGTGCGAATGGCACAGGACAGAGCGGAGTTTAGGGCTGTTGTATATAGGGTATCTATGAGTCGCAAGCGACTCGACGGCACATAACAACAACAACAACAACAACAGTTTTCAAGTACTGTAAAATGTCATCCATAGGTTTACTTTTTAAAACAAGATTTTAACATACAGAATTTTTGTGACACTTTGTAAGAATGAGAACTAATCATTAAAATCCTCCTAAGACATTCACGTGTAATTATTGTCAAAGAATGATGGGGTTGCTGGAATTAAAAAACTCACTATCTACTTTGTTCACCTAATGTGAAATGACAAGAACACTGCTTAGCAAAGGACACGTATGGCCACACTTTCTTTTACTTTAAACACCTGAAGAACAAAGTAGTTACATTAAAAAAAAAAAAAGGGAAGAATCTTGAAACGTCTTGGAAATGTTTATTATACATAATTGATTTTGAGATACAAATAAGCCATCTAAAATTCCTTATTTGTACATTTAGAATTATAAAATGGAATTTCAAGGCTATTTTTTAGAAAAAATCAACAAAATTAAGAATTTCAACCGTCTTTAAAGTACTCCCATTTATAAAAATTCAACACATCCCTCGGTGGTTTCTAAGAATTGGCTGACGTAAGAAAGAACAAAACCTGCTAGCCGCTCTGAACAAGAATTTCTGCAGTAAAGGTAGAAGAGATTAAAAAACTTATGTCAGAGTTTACTATGCACAAACAACAACATCCCCAACTTAACTCTTTTTGAGCTATCTTTTTGGCCCATTAAAAATGATATTTTCTACAATTCTGAATCACCATCAAAAGCATAACAGGGCAAACAGAATCATATTACTATTTTTCAGTGCAATAAAAAGGGTTTTTCGTAGGAACGGAAACTGGTTCAAGATTACCTGGTCATTGCCAACAGAAACAAGGGCAGAGAAACATATTCTCTTGCCTGGTAGACTTGCTTCAAGTAGGAAACAGCAGTGTCATGATCAAAGAGGAGAGCTGACACACATTTAAAGCTGCCTGTCACCTGAGTGGGGAACTCACTCCCTACTTCCAAAAACAAGGAAAAACAAACAACAACCTTAACTACACCAAAAAACCACACCCCCACCTCACTGCTACAGAGTCTATACCCCCATTAGGTTTCTTGTGTTGTATATCTGAACAGCAGGAGATTGGGCATTTTCCCTCTGTTCAAACTGCCAGAGATTGCAGCCTTCAGGTTTGCAATACAACAGCTCCATCAGAGCTCTGCGTGTTTCCTACTTTGGTTGAAATGCAGCTGACAAAAGATGCCTTATAAAGTGTACATCTCTCTTGCCCGTGACTGAGCAAGTGTTCTGGACCAGCCTGAAGCCGTGGTAGCCCAGTGGTAAGAACCTGCGCTGCTATCCCCAAAGTGGCTCAAATCTACCAGCTACTCCGCAGGAGAAGGACAGGCAATCTCCTCTCATGTGATTTAACTGTCTCTGAAAACCTGTGAGGGTCAGCTATGGATTGGTTCTCACTCGGTAAACAGCAAGAATGCGGAAACAGAACTACTGTCTTTTAGGTAAACCACAGAATTATTTTTCCATTTGGGACATTTTTAAGACCAACAAGTAAGCATTCTAATTGCCTGTCATAATCATCTGTAACTTCTATTAGGTGTCAAATCCAAAATCACTCAAATTTTCAGCAAAATAAATGGCACTCAAGATTACTTTTCTAAGTCTAATAAAAGATCCCAAGTTGTTGTGTTTAAAAAAAACAAACAAAAAAAAAACAACACAAAAAAAAAAAAAAACACAACACATAGGAAAGGAGTTGCACTGCCAAACTAAAGGGAAGCAGTTCAAATCCACCATGGTGGAAAGATGGGCAATGTCCTCTCATGTGGTTTGGTCTCTGAAAACCTCCTGGAGGGTTGACCAGCTATGAGACAGCTCCACCTGGACGGTAACCAGAGTGAGCTCGTCTGTAATGTAATAAAGTACTTGCATACACACCTATTAAATTCCTGGCAAGCTCTGCAGCAATATCACAAATTTTTTTCCTCATGCTAGATTGTGTTTCCATCTGAATAATCATTAGCAGTTCACTCTTGATGGCAGTCTGAACATCGGAAGGAAGAGTTGGGTAGACTTCATCAAATGCAGAGGACAGAAGACGTCTCAGGAGAACAGCAGCCATTTGTCTGGCCTAGAAAACAGGTAATTGTTAATAATTTGGTGTCTTAATAAAGAAAAAGTTACAACAAACAGGGTTCCCTTGGCCATTTATGCACTTTGCTGGTCTATTTTTATGGTTATTACATTAGTTTATCATTTTCAGCATAAAGATCTTTTGAAGTTAACAAAAGGAAAGGTGAAATTAATGCCATTATAAAATTTTATTATATCACATCAGCAAGCCATTATGGATACTAAGCCCAAGTTTCCCTGCTCTCCTTTATCCTAAGCTGCTATTCATTATACAGTAATTACTTTGGGACTGTGACCAACAATAGCAAGGGTGTGAAACTATGCAAATAAAATCTACCTTTTCTCTCCATTTACTTTTCACTGAGAATTTTCATCTCTATTTTTGGCATAGAGTAAAGCTCTATTACTCTTAAAACTTATACTCTAGAACTTGAAGCTTTTATTCTTATAAAAGTAGTTCAGTTTTCCAGGAGTCTTTGAAAGGGTACTCTTCAGGATTTTTTCCTAAGAAGCAGCAGCAGTTACCAGAGTTCCGTTTACTTCCTCATGATGTTTCTCTTAGCTAAAACCGCAGTAAGTCATCTTCAAGTTCGAAGCATTAAGCAAATAATGGTAAGATAAAACCACCAGAAATGTTTACCTGATTTCCATGACAAATATGGTAATGCTGTCTTAGCTATTGGGGCTACTTTCTGTGTTGCTATGTGGGCTTACACAACAACACAAATTGGGCTAGAATGGAACTTGTCCCCTGTTGGCAGAGTCACCCCAAAGGAATGGAGAGATCAATAATCAAAACAACTAGTGGTATAATATTGAATTGTTTCAAAACCAACTTATAATTGATGTCGAGGAAAAGCACTATGTACTCATTAAAATAAGACATTATGGAAGAAATAAAATACATTTGAAACCCTTAAAAAAAGTTCAAAACCATGTGCAAGTTATTAAGCAGACTTTCTCCTATGTAAATGGGAGCTCTGGTGGTGTGTCTGTAGGGAGTGCTGTGAAGCAAAGGCTGCACTGCTCTGGTGGTTCGAATCCACCTGTGCTTCTGACGTAGAAAGATGGACACACTTCTGAGCAATTTCCATCTTGGACATTTGCAGGGTCAGCTATGATTTGGTTCTGGATTAACAGTTTTAAGTTTTTGAGCCTCATATACACTGAAAACAAAGTGAAGTCTAGTCAAGATGCCACTGTTTGTTTACTACTGTCTTGTTCCTAAATCAAAGTAAGACGGACTTATGTCTTACATTTGTACAGCAGCTAGTTTGTATTACTCGCCAAGCAACTGTCAACTGTTCTTGGAGAAGAGTATGCATATGTGTATGCACGCATATAGCACAGCTCTGGTAGCACAGTGGTTAAGCTCTTGGCTAACAAAGAAGGTCAGTGCTCTGAACTGGCCACTCTGTGGAAGAACGATGTGGCAAAGCCTGCTTCTGTAAAAACGAGGCTGGGAAATCCTATAGGACAGTTCTAGGAAGTTGCAACAAGGAGGAATCAACAGTGGCAAATGGGTCTGGTTTAGCTTTTAGGGATACACATGCTCATTATTCACACCTGACATTCACTCTGACTCACACAAAAAGAACATGTAACAAAGATGAAGAAACACTTTCTGTCATCTTTATCAAGAAATCTGGAGCACTTTCATATTGCCTTCCAAATGTTATGAGAAACATTTTATCATCATTAAAAACTGAATGACCACAAGGCAGGTGACATACCATAAGTATTGAAGGTCAATTTAAGTTCACTGTGAAACGTATTATGTTAATATAAGCTTTTTATATGCCTGTGTTAGAAAAGAAGTCCCACTGCAAGCACTTTAAATGCAGTGTTTTGTAGATGGAGTAAACTGTCAAGATTTTCTAACACCTTTTCCAAAGTAAAGAGAGAATATCCAGTTACATTCAATATTTATGAGGGTACTTTATAGGAAGAAAAATTTTAGTTGCTTAATGCTTAGAAGAACAGTAAGAAATAATAAAACTATGGAATAATTCTGTTTTATCACAGGAACACTGAGACTCAAAAAGTATAAATAAAATCACAGTTCAATTTAAATTTGGCATACTAATGAGGTAATTTTTTAAAAAAATCTTTTTTTAAATTTTATACTAGTTTATTTGTAAACTTTGAATATATTGGTTTCTAATGAGGTAATTCATTAAGGAACTTCCTAAAAAACTCAAATTTCTAGAACATTCCAGAAAAAGGATCTTTTTGTTCCTAAGCACAGCACATGTTTAGCACCCTCTTCAACATTAAAAGCTTTAGTTGTTACAATACAGGCTCAAGTATTTTTTAGAAACATCTGCCAACACACATTAAGACACTGAATGAATGAAATTCCCTCACTTAGAACTGTTTCAAGGAAAAGAAAACAGTTCTTTACAGTTGCAGAACTAAATCAGACTGAATACATCTAACTGGAGACTTTGCCCTTCAGACGTGCTGCTGGATTCAAACCACCAGAGATGCAGCCTCTGGGTGGGGAGCACGGCTCCCTACGAGGTCACCAGAGCTCCCTTGTTCTTACTAGAGTATTTAAACACAACAGGGTTTATCCTCTGCAACTCTGTAACATGCAGCTTGTTTCAGCGTGCACACACAGTATTTCAAATCCTCAAGACGTACCTCCTCAGCGGCGGTTGTGTTTCTGATGGCTTGTAAGAGAAATGTGATCTTTGACTGACCTGGGATATTTTCATAGGTTTCCTATATGAAAAGAAAGAAAACAAACCCACATTAAGGATTAGAATATATCATAAGAAAACTTGGTGAGTAAACCAAGTAAAAAGAAATGAGAATGGGTAGGATTTAAGCATGTAAAGACATTCACTGTGCATTTGGTGCTAACAAATTCTCCTGTGATAGAAGATCAAAGAAGTAACGAGAGAGAGAATTGTCCAAGGAGTTGGGGTGTCAAAGTTTTTCCTACCAATAGCTCTGAAATAGATTTGTATTAAAACCATTACTAGATATCATATATAAAAAATATCTGATCAGGAGAAAATTTAGCAGAAAACTTACTGAAAGATTTTCAGATTCAAGACATTTCTTTCCACTACTGTTACTTATCATCAAGCTGATTCCAAATAAAGAAGAACGAGAGCAAACTGGTTAGTAATAAGAATAGGGCTTTGAACAAACAGACCCAAGTCTGTAAAATGTGAGTATAGAAGAGATAACCAGCATGGGAAAAATTATGGGTCAAGGCTTCAGAAAGAGAGCCTTAGAAGAGTCATAGTGAGTCCTTTCAGGATCCTAATGGGAGGGGCCGGACTACTGCACAGGCTGTGGAGAGAAAAGCAGAAGGCAATGTGCATGGGGCCATTCCTGAGGGGGGCACTGCAGCTAAAGAGCTGTTACTTCAGCCCATGGCACGATGCTCTCATTTTCTAGGAGGGAGATAGATTCTAGCTGGCTATTGACTGGTTACTGTTCGAGTACACATTTTATCAATTCGGACCCATCCTGGTTTCACTTCATCAGTTATGACTGACTTTGGAAACACTGGTTCAAAAGGTCATGAATAAAGAGTTAAGTAGAAGAAGCGCAGGATCATTGGTATATGTGAACAGTGGTAGTCTATTACAGCAGATAAAATATTATGTTCAACTGGAATTGTTTTGGTCTCTTAAACAGAACTCAACCTACTACCATCATGTCAGTTCTGACTCACTGTAACCCTCCGCTGAGTTTACAAAACTTTCCCCCCACCCCATGGATCTGAACCTTTTACCTTTCAGTTGCCAGCTCAACCTGTTACAAACTATGTAATATGTTGCTATTATGTGCCATCAAGTTGACTACAACTCAAGCCTTGCCTATCCTGAGCCAGTCTCACTACTCTGACACCTTTTACCCCCAGTTACAGTGTCAATCCATCTCATCCAGGGTCTTCCTCTCCTGTGCTGTTCCTCTACTCTTCCAAGCATGATGTCCTTTCTCCAAGGACTGGTCTCCCCGGGCAACATGCCCCAGGTATGTGAGACAGAGCTTCAAAGTCCTTATATCCAAGGAGCAATCTGGCTTTACCCTATCCAGAACAGACCTGTTCCTTTTCTTGGCAGCCCATGGTATGCTCAATGTTCCTCTCCAGCATCACAACTCAAAGGCATCAATTTTTCTTTTGTCATCCTTAGTGTCTAGCTGTTGATGTGCAGTAAGTAATTGTGAAGATCATGGCCTGGATCAGGCACACCTTAGTCTCCCTCTAAGAGCTTCTTATTGGGCCTCTTCATAAAGAATAGTCCACTATCTTCTATTACTGGTAATTTAGTAATTTTTTACCAGTGTAAATTCCAAGATCTTGTTTGCTGTTTGCAATCACACCTCCATAATCTCTACCTGGTTCTGCTGGACAGAAATGTTAAGGAACTAAAAATTAGCTACTTTAAATTTCTCTGCATGCTTCATGCCTAGTGAAATTACTGAACAATTATATTTATAGATCACTACATAATTCCATGGTTTTTACATCAGAGAGTTGGACAATGACTAGGGAGGATAGAAGGAGAATTGACGCCTTTGAGCTGTGGTGCTGGAGAAGAGTATTGAATGTACCATGGACTGCCAAGAAAACAAACAGATTCAACCTAGAGAGGGTTAAACCAGGCTACTCCTTGGAGCCAAGGATTCTGGGGCTTCGTCTGACATACTTTGGACATGCTGTAAGGAGAGACAGGTCCTTGGAGAGGGACATCATGCTTGGTAGGGTGCAGGGACAGCGCAGGAGGGGAAGACCCTCTATGAGGTGGATTGATTCAGTGACTGGGGTAATTGGAATGGGTGTGTCAGAGGCAATGTGACTGGCACAGGATAGAGCAGGGTTTAGGGCTGTTGTATACAGAGGGTCGCTATGAGACACAAACGACTCGACGGCACATAACAACAACAACATGATTCAAATATCTCAACCTGTAGAAAAGCAAAATTTTGGGAAATGGAACCAGTTGAGATCTTCCTACAGCAAACTCACGAAAAGTATTCCATACAGAGGAGGAATAATAGGTCTGCACTGTTACTCAGAAAGGAAAGCGTTCATTAAAAGACATTCAGAGATACGTACCTCTATTCTTTAAAGTTTACCAAAACAATACTAAAAAGAATATACACTAAAATAGAAGTCCTTGTACACATGCTGCTGCTGAGTACAGGTAGCTGCTTATCCAGTGAGCTGCTCAAGTTTTCAAAATACAGAAAAGGAGAGAAATACCAAAACAGGTATCAAATGACTCTGAAACTTACTCTTGAATGTTGATGGCTAAAGTGAAGAGAAAAAATGATGATGAGAAGAATCTGAATTCTCAAGGGTGGCTTCTAAGTCCTATAAAACCACATAGAAAGACCTAGAGTTATAAACTCTTAAAGACTGACGAGATTGTCGTATCATGCCTTACTTCAAAGAAGGGGTCCAATAGAATGTGGAATATTGAACAGTAGTCATGTTGTTGTTGTTATGTGCTGTCGAGTCGCCTGCGACTCATAGCGACCCTATGTACAACAGCCCTAAACTCCGCTCTGTCCTGTGCCAATTGCACTGTCTCTGACACTCCCATCCCAATTATCCCAGTCACTGAATCAATCCACCTCATAGAGGGCCTTCCTCTCCTGCGCTGTCCCTCCACCCTCCCAAGCACGATCTCCCTCTCTAAGGACCGGTAGTACTATAAATAGAATTATGCTGAAGATAATGAAAAAAAAAAAAAAAAAAAAAAAAAAAAAGAAAAACCAAACCACAAAACCAAACCAAACAAACCAAAAAAAAAAAAAAAAAAAAATTGCAATAATATGTAGAGGGGGAATGACCAGAAATTTAAGCCAGACTCAGAAGAGGAATTCATTCCATTAAACAACAAGGGACAGCACTGCTGTTGCCAAATGGATCTTAGCTGAAAGCAGGGAATATTAGAAAGATGTTTAGCTGTGACGACAACAGCCCATGCAAAGGTATTAAATTGTGCCAATTACAAAAAAAATAATAGGTATCCCTGGGAAGAATGGAAACAGCAAAACAGGTAACTGTGCTCATGCAGGACCTGAACATTGAACAAGAGGTGCTTATTTGAACAGAACAAGTTTACAATGTGATTTAAAATCAGAAGAGGTGTGTCAGTGTATCCTTTCATCATACTTATTTAAACTATAAAGTGTACTATGCGAAGAATTCATTTGGCATCAGGATTGAAGGCAAGCTCATTAATAACCTGAAACACTTATGCTTTATAGTAAACATCATAAAATTCTGAAGTCAAAGATTTCATTTTACTTAGATTCATGATCAGTGTCCGCGGGAGCAGCAACCAACATACTGTACTGAAGGCAAACCTGCTGCCAAAAACTTTTCCAAGTGTTTAAACGCAAAGATGTCACTTTGAGGACTGAGGTGTGCCTCGCCCAAGCCATCTGGATGTAAAATGTAAGGAATAAGAAGACTGAAGTAGAACTGATGACTCTGAGTTACGGTTATTAGGACTGTCAGAACAACATCCACATCTGCTGGAAGGACAAGGACAGCTCCAGAGAAGTGAGAGTGACGAGACTGTCCCGTGGGCTCTGCACATGTTATCAGGCGGGAACAGATCCTCATGAAGACAGCTACAAATGGACCCTTGATTTGTGCTCAGTGACCACCAGTGAGACTGGCAGTTCGAATTCACTTAACAATGTCATGGAAAAAATGCTGCGTGGTCTACTTCCCAACTCATGGCAACCGCAGGTTATCACAGAGCAGAACTGCTCCACTGATATAATCTTTATGGAAGCAGACCACTAGGCCTTTCTCTCACTGCACAGCTGTGTACCGTCACGTTAGAATCCATGCACACTGACCCTCCAGCAGGATTTCAGAGACCGTAAACTGCATGGGAGGTGAGAGCCCATCTTTCTCCCAGAGAGAAGTGGGAGTATTTGAACCATGTGCCTTAGGATTGGCAGTGCAGCTCCTGAGCACAAGGCCACCACAACTCCCTGCAGTACTGCTGGGTGGATTCAAATTGTCAGCTTTCTGGCTAGGAGTCAAGCACAAACCATCTGCATCATCAGGTACTTGTTCAAGAAGACTGTTGTTAGTCCTTAGAATCAATTAGAATAGCCCTGATAGTTCTTTTGTTCTCAAGGTAGAGGAGGCTGTGGTTCACAGAGTCAAACAAACCAAATCCTTCCCTGATTCTGGGGTTCTTTCTTTTGCTTCAGATGAACAGAGCCAATAGCTGTATCATAGTTTCCCATAAGCTCTTTAAAAAAATTTATTTAAATACAATTTTTATTTTTTACTGGTTTACTTACAAAGTTCATATACATTGTTTTTCCACACTGGATCTTTCCCATTTCCTTTGTTTATTCATCCCTCCACCCAACTGAAACATTCCTCTAGGTCGTATAGCCCTGGTGTACAAGTTGCCGTCCTGCGGTCACTTGTGGTTGCTGTGGGGCTGAACACTGTGACACGGATTTGTCAAATGCGTTAATGGTTGGCTACCAATGCGGACTGAGAGTGGGGAAGGAGGAGTGGCATCTGCTTCCATAATAGCTTGCCTCTGGAAAACCTATCAACTTGGAGAGAAGATCAAAGGCACCCAAGCATCAAGGACTCTCCTTCATAGGGTCGCTATGAGTCGCCTGCGACTCAATGGCACTTAACAACAACAACCCAATTGAATGGACTGAGAAATTGTGGTACATTCACAGGATGGAATTCTACACAGCATGCAGGAGCAATGACTCAAGGCGGCCTCATAAAGGCAGAAGTGAACTGCCAATAGGGTTTTCAAAGACTGAGCTTTAGGAAGCAGGTTATACATACAAGCTGTCTCCTGGTATACCTCTGGGTGGGTATGAACTATCAACCCTTTAGCTTTTGATAGAGAGCTTAATGGTTTTGACACCAAGAATCCTTCTAGAAGATTGCTGTTATGTTGTTGATTCTGATTCACAGCTACCCTTCAGCAAAGAATCTTTAGGGAAGAAGACGGATACATCTTTCCCCTGTGAAGCAGATGATGGCTTCAAACTACCAACCTTTTAATCACTGTGCCTTCAGCTCTCCTTTCTGGAAGACTGAAGCCAATGAAAACTTTATGGAGTCAGCATTTACTCAATGGCAATGGGTTTCTGATTGTCATTTCCAGCAAGAACCACAGATGTGACCAGCTATATTATGTTCTTTCTAGTTGTATGTGCCATAGAATCACCTGCAACTCATAGCAACTCTATGTACAATAGCTCTGAAGCCTGTCTTGTTCCATGCTAGTCTCACTGACTCCGACACACCTACCCCTATTTGCCCTCATTACTGTATCAACACATCTCAAAAGGGGTTTTCCTCTCCTGCACTGTTCCTCCACCCTTCTGAGCATGATGTCCTTCTCCAAGGATGTGGCCCTCGTGGCCATGTGCCCAAAGTATGTGAGAGGGAGCGTCAAAATCCTAGCCTCCAAGGAGAGACTTGGTTTCACCCTCTCCAAGTCAGAACAATTTGTTTTCTTGGTAGTCCATAGCATGTTCAAGACTCTTCTCTAGCACAACTCGAAGGCATTTATTCTTCTATCCTCCTCAGTCATTATCCAGTTCCCTGATGCATTAGGAAGTAATTGCAAAGTAGAGTCTTAAAAACATTGAACACAAATGTTAAAATTTATTCCATAATGACTCAGAAGTCAATGGAAGAACAGTATGTGGGACATCTGACTCTAGTGAGAGTTACCTGTTTAATATAGTCTACTGACATAAGATCCAGCTATAGTATCACATCCATTATTACACTAGAATAGTGGTCAAGGACAAGGTTTTGGCAAAAGATCACTGACTTAAAAATGTTTACCTTTTCTTAGTCCAAACAGACAGATTTCTAGAAGAGCAGCCATGGTAACTGCCTCATTTTTGTATCTGCAGTACCTATTCTCCATGCATGGTACCAGAAGATGTGGCAGTACAATCAAAATTTAAATTCCAGGTCATCCCACTGCCTACAATCACACAATGGAAAGCAGATTTCACCCTTGTTCCCCCAATTCCTTCTCCAAAGGAGATGTGATCGCACAGGGAATGAAATGGTGGGCTGATCATGGAAAGTTGGTGGTTCAGATTTACCAGCTGCTTCAAGGGAGAAAGATGATGCAGTCACAACCTGCTAAGAGCTACAGCCCTGGAAAGCCAATGGAAGGCTGTCAGAGGCAGCACCGACTTGGCAGCAGTGGGTTTTGAAAATGGCTCGATTCCCTCCCCAAGGAGCCCAGTGCAGCGGTAATGTTCTAGGTCGCAAGCTCAAACACCAGCAGTGTGAACTCCTCTGCAGCTCTGATTGCAGAAATACGGCAAGCTGCTTCCACGAAGATTACAGGCTCAGAAATCCTATAGGGCAGTTAAGCCTTGAGTAGGATAGTTTCGTGAACAATGGAATAAGCTGAAAACAATTTGCTACCAACCTTTTTTTATTCTCTGCATTAACACATAGCCTATAGTCCATATAAAAAAATGCAACACAGCCAACTTTTACCTATAAATACTCTGATTCCTCAACAATCAAATGTACTTTCAATAGTTAAACTCATTAATTAAGTTCTAGTTGACAATCAATGAACAAAGCCTGTTCTTTTTTTAAGAAATAATTAAGACCACATGCATGCACACCCTGGTGGCATATGAGTTAAGCACTGGGTATTAACCCAAAAATCAAGGGTTCAAATTCACCAGGAGTTTCTAGGGGGAAAGATTAACAACTTTGGAAATCTACATGGTCCCTATAATTTAGATTCAACACAGAAACAGTAGGAGTGAAGATTAATGAAATAGTTAACCTTAAACCACACTAGTATGTCTGTGATCAGTGCCATGGATACCCAACTTTGCACTCCTTGTCTATGAATAGCTGTCTACTGAGGTATGCTGTTGAACCAACTCCACTCACTGGGGTGCCGAGTGATTGAGCAGTGATACTCATACTCAAGAGAAGGGGCATTCAGAAGGAGCTCTGGTGGTTAGTCAGAATCTATCAGCCACTCTTTGGGCAGTCTCCGCTCATCAAGGTCTACAGCCTCAAAAACTTCCTGAGGGTCACTCTGAACAGGAGGGGACTTGACGGCCGGGCGTCTGAGTGGCATTTCATTTCCCTAAGTGTTAGCAATAACTTCTGTGAAGTAAACAGAGAAAAATGTTTGAAGAGTAACAGAAATAAAATGTGATGCCCAATACCATGGAAGAGGTTTTAACCTTTTTGAAGTTTTAAGCACTTTCAACTTCGACTGCGTGATGGTAAAATGGAAGCCTTGCTTTTGCTGTATGGGATCTCACATCCCAATACAAAAGTCAGTTTAGTCAACAGTTTGGTATTTACATGTCAACTAAGTATTTTAATTTTCATGGAATTATCAAAATAGTCACTCAACACATGCCAATTTCTTAGTTCAGAAAAATACTTCTTTTTTAGAAAAATATTTTATCTGCTTTATCAGACCGTAGAGCTCAATTTTAGTCTGATTACTTATAAAGGTATCTTTCACAAGATTAAAAGCTGTATGTTAATTTACCTTTATGTGCAGCCATTTCTTTTCACAAGTAATATCTTCCTTTCACAGAAAAAAAAAATTTATTTCCAGAAAAACTTAATGCAAACTATTCTAGTGGTATTCAATCTCAACTCAAACAGTAATGAATTACTAAAAATCAATAACCACCCCAAAACCTGATTACTGCCATAACTGAAGATCAATCATAGGAGTCTTATCTTTTATGGTGCCAGAGGGCCTTCCCCTGCATCTTTGATTTTTTTGGCTGAGAAAATCTATCAAGTGTACTTATTTTATATTTTAATATATTCTCAGAGTATGCAAAGAAAGTAAAAAATGTGCTATTAGTGTTTTCACTGGGAATAAAGAGGCTTAGAGAGTAACAGTACTTGTTTCCAATGGATCTGTATGAGAAAACAGTACTAACTAGCCCCCTCAGTGATGCAAATGATAACAGATTCACAACAGGCACCAACTGGAACTTCCTCTAAACCAGACACTGGTATTTAGTTCAATAGCAGTGATTCCCCACTAGGCTCCACAAGAGAGACTTGAGCAACTAGAGGAAGGAGGCAGAATTCAACTAGTTACTAATTATGATGCTGTTCTGATTTTTAACACATGGGAATGCCTATTCAAAGTTGGGATTAAGCATGCATTTTTGTAAAAAAAAAAAATAATCTCTAGAGTTAGCAGAAAGCACTACAGATGTCATAATCCCACTGGTAGGAGTACAGGTTGATGACATCAATAACTACGCACGCTACCTCAAGGATAGTCTCCTGATCAGAGACAAGTTCTTTTCTGAAATATATCTTTAAAGTGCAATTTATACATACATCAGTAGAGTTCAGTTTGTTTCTAAAGTCTTTTAGTCAAGTATCCTATATAAGATACCTTTTGATGCACAGCAACACTTTCAGATACAGAAGTCATTTATTTAACAGTAACTATACACTCATGTTTCCATGTGTTAAAAATGAATCTATTTGTTATTATGAACCCCTGCATATACCATGGAATGCTTAAGAAGATGGGGAGGGAGGGATGGACTCCTTCTTACTAAAAAGGAGATGACTGCCTGTGTCTTGCTTTGCTTTAATAAACAAACCTGGAAAAGCATACAGGTATGAACAGCACCAATAGCAAGACCCTGGAAACGCCAATATCCATTCAGAGGGAAAGGGTGAAATAAATGATACATCAGAGATGTGTGAGCATTATGTGGCAATAAATAAATTCAGTGAGAAGTTACAAAATATTATCTGTGTTATACATTAATCCATATAAAAATGGCTGTGTTGTAATTGTTAAAAAGTGTTCCATTACAAGATACATAAAAAGTAGTTACTTGCAGGGAATTAAAAAAAAAAAATTCTCGGATTAAAGGGACTTCAAAGTGCTCTTTCACCCAGAACGAATTTTCCAGTTATCTCACTTATAAAACCACACTAAATGTAACCGATACATCCTAAGCTTATTCAAAATAAGTATCAACACTGTGGTTTTAAAGACAACCATAAAGAAACCTCTTAAGGCTCCTAAGAGGTCTTGTCCCTCAATTTCATTAGCTAGTAAAGCAAAATTATTTTTTGCTTTCTAAAAATATCTGGCAGCACACCCTTCCCTGAACCTTAGAAAAATCTTTAACCACAAAGTTGCAAAGGAACTTGACACATGTTTGTAGGTAGGTTCCGCTAAAGTACTTAACAGAAAACTAGCCAGTTTCTACCTTCTTTTAACTATTACAGCGAAATCTAGGACTCAACAGTTGACTGTAACATGAAAGGAAGTGTCTTCTATTAGATTGAGTAGTGACTGAACCACAACTTGGGAAATGTACTTGAAGACACACGTGAAATGTGGTCTCTTTTTGTATTCTACAAGAACAGGCTGGATGGACGATGGGCCATTGGCTTGGTTTTAGGTTAAAGTATAATCAAAGCTGCTCATTTTAGAGGCCAAGAGCCAGAGATGGCTGGGAAATGAAGAGAGATTCCGGTCAGGATGAATGAACCTGAAGGCTTGGGAACAGGATCTTGGCCCAGTTAAACCCTCCAAAAAGTCCCCGTGCATCCTTTTTTTTTTTTTGGCTAATAAATGAGACCACAAATCTCTAGGGAATCAAAGCAAATCTGTCTGGAGGAAGAGCGGGGTGAAGGTGTAAGCTCCTTAGAAAGAACCCCAAAGGCAACTCCATCAAGTTGGGGGTGGGGAGTGGGGAGGGAAATCCGGCTCCTGATGTTGAGTTGGGAACTAGAAATGAGAACTAAACGGAAATGAGGGGAAGTCAGGCGACAAGGCACCCATGTGAAAGAGAAGGGCTGGGGAGAGGAGGAGCGGGGCGAGGAAGGACGGAGTGGGAGCAGCAGGGTGACGATCGAGCTGCAGGCAGGGGCCAGCAGGCAGAGCGCTGGGCCGGGGAGAGGCAGCGGCAGGGCGGGGACCGATCACCCGGGGAGAAAGCGGGCCCGGGGCGAGAAGGGGAGGCCCGGGACGAGGAGGGGCCC